AGTGTATATTATAATATATAAGATAAAAGTAAATTTATGTATTTTCATAAAACATTTTGTTTTAATAGATTTTTCCATTATAAAAATTTTAGTATTATACATGGTCACAAAATAAATATCTAATCTGTATATATACATTGTTACTACCTATATAATGGGACCTATGTTTTTAAATATGCATGTAATATATAAAGTATATTGTTTATAGAAAACAAACTCTACAAATTAAAATGAATAAGTATGCAACAAAATATGAACTATAAATATATACTGTCAAAATACACATGACAAAAACCTAAAATCTAAAGACTAAATCCTGAACTATGAAACATGTACTCTAAATATTAATCACTATACCCTGAACCAAATGAACTAATAAAAAATTATAATATTTATTCATAATATAAATATATAAAGTATATACTTTTAGACACAATATTTTTTTTTATAAATATAGTTCTTACTATTTTATAAGTGATTATATATCTATGAATATACGTAACTGTAATATAAAAACACTCATAGGTAAAAAAATTAAACTTGTGTTTTGTTATCATTTATAATCTATAGATGTATACAAAATTTAGTATATATTTCAGAAATAATAACAACATATATATAAATACTCATTCCAATATGACACAATCTTTTTTTGAATACTATAAAATATATGTTTATAAATAAAGTGTTAATGTATTATATGTTATATGATTCTACAATAAAAAACATATACATAAAGAATATATCCACATTAAAGAAATATAAATCATTATTTTTTTATATTACACTGTTGAACTTTTCAATTACGCTATTATTTAATATGAATAATTGACTAATATTTTATATAATTAATCTTACAAAAAAAAATACTTTGGAAATAATGAAAACACATATAAAATAGTTTAAAATGTCAAGTGCTTTATTATAAATAAATTATTAAATCTGACAAAATACATATCTATTAATAATATTTTATAAACTTTATAATATAAAAAATATTTTTATATAAAAATAATATTCTTCTAATAAACACTACAGTTATCATATCTTAGACAATATATATATGAAAAAAATTGCAATTAATATAACAAAAAATATAAAAAAAAAATTATATATTCTATATGTATAAATCAATTACAATTATGATTATTCAGCTAATTTCTATTATAATAAATGTATGATAGATAAAAATATAATAAATTTGAAAAAATTCAATATGTATATGATATATAATCTTCATGACATAAAAGCTATCGATGTATTAATATATTTAACAATTATTATAAGCAGAATACTATAAAATCTAACATAAATTATAAATCATAAACCCTAAAAACTCTATCCAGATATGTGCCTAATCTATTCTCTGAAGAATGAACATTAGTCGTGAAAACTGTATTTTGAAAACTGTATACTAAAACCTAAAATTATATAACTAATTCATTGAGAACATATCAGAACATGACAATAAAATAATCTCATGCCCAAATAAATAATTATTATATACAAGTTAAAACATGTAATTTGTAAACAAAATGAATTTTAAGGAATAAATTAATCTAATAAATAAATAATCTGAACAATTTTTACTTGGTTAATGCTAATATTATACTATAATATATTAACTGAATAATATATAAATGTAAGAGATACACAAAATAAGACTATAAAGGAAATAATACTAATAAATAAGATAATATGATAGATTAAAGTTATACAAAAGTATAAGAACATTGAAGATAAAATTTAATGACTGCGAATATTTACCAAGTGAAACTAACATAAATTTTGTAATAATGAAACTGACATGAAATAATATATAAATGACCCTTTTTAATTGTTTATATTTAGTTTTTGATTTTTCGTAACTTTATAAATATTAAGTGATTCTTAAAGCTGAAAACTATGTAATTATTTTTTATATAATAAGAAAGTCTTCAGGATACTTGTATAATATTAAAATTATTATTTTATAAATATTCAAATTATATGAAATGCTTTTTATTATTGTTTCTTCTAATTCATATGTTCATTTTATTACATTATTATTTCATCTTACATAAGTGTTTAATGCAATTAGACAGAATAGTTACAAGGATTAACTGTCAAGGCATATATGAGGTTAACATCTAGCATTCAAAAAATAGTATTTGATAGTATTTGTTTATTCAAATAGTTCATTTTCTATATACTACATATTATAGTTTCATGAATAATGACTTATATGATCATATATGTGTGTGTGTTCAAAAAATTAATGTGCAGAAATAGCTAAATGAATAACATGGTATAATGTTTATTTTATAAAAATGTTTTTATGTGGGTTAATATTATTAATATATTTATTTACATGTCCTAACATATACAATATTATATTATGTATAAATTTATAAATACATTACATATATAAAAAAAAAATTATATATAATTTTTAGAGCTTTATATATGAACAATAGTTTTTTAAATTTATTCTCTTAATGTTTTTTTTGTTGAATTTTAGGATATTAATTAAAGAATGCCTATAATAATATATGAAGATGTATAATATTATAGACTTACATATATTTATAATTGTTTTATATACTATGTTATGTCAAATTATGCTAATGTATATGCATATGAAATGGTGAATATGTATAAATTAAATTTTATAAAAACATATTTGAAATTTATCTGAAAATCGTAAATAAATATATATTATATATGTTATAAGAACAAATGCATCAATACATGTAACCCATATAATTTTATTGTAGGCCTTTACAATTTATGAATAATTCTATATATGTTAGTATAATATATTGCACTATTCTTTTGTGTTAGGTTATTATTAATTAAAAATAAAAGATAGTTTATCCTATAAAAATAATCTTTAAATATTATATAAGACAAATATTTTTGTTGCATATATGGACATTTTTATGATATTACAATATAAATTTCATAAATAACAATGTTACATATTTTATTTGTAAATAGATACTTATATATTACTAAAATAAATTTAATCAATATTATTATTGATAATCATGTAATTTAGTAATTCATATAAGGCATCATGATATTTTTATGATAATTATAAAAATATTTATGATGAATAAAAAGAAGATATAATAAATTTATAATAAAGGCATTTATTTTATTGGTAACATTATAGTATTATAGAAAATGCATTCA